CCAGATCAGCCTTTGAGATAACCGTTTCCCCTCGTCTGTGTGTATCTGTGTTTTTATCAGGGTGAGTTACTACTGACACAAGGTGACGTGGACTAGGATATTTTCAGGTGTCAGGTGAAAACAGAAAATCTGAGAACAGGTTCATATGCACGCAAAAATGTGGATTTAGCTGCCATTGGTCAAAAATTAACATCTCTCTCCTATCCCCTTCCAAATGTAGGCACCAAGACCGGCTGATATTAAGTATAATAAAAGTCAACATTACATAGTGTAAGACACCACTGTAAGGACATACTATGCTAAAGAGAGTTATATTTTGGTTTGAGAATGTGAGAGTGGGAGATTTCTTTTAACATGTCTCGGTTTTAGATTCTTCTGTACAGCAACAATATTATATTATTATAGGCCCATGATGGTAGAATTTATTGCACAGATTACATTTAGCAAGCAAAACATATTACACGGGCCACTCATATCCTATGTGTGCGCTTGTCAAGGCACTGAAGAGCAATGCAATCCTCATCAGTCTTCCTTAAAGGACTGATGAAACAAAATCATTGTTCATAGTTTAAAACTTGCTGTATTCACTTAATATCCAATAAAACACTTACAGATAACTGTATAGGGCATATTAGATTACATATGCATTCATGTTTAGGTTCTCTTGCAGCATTTCCATTTTGTTCATTTGAGTCACTCAAAGAAGAATCAAATTAGTGAGGCTGAATGTGTAGTCATGCTAAAGGAGCCACAGATAAAGACCGATTTACAGAAAATCTTGCGAACCATAGCAACCACAGTTCATGTGGACCATCGTATTTTACCCCCAAATTAACGTCTTTATACACGTTTGGTTGACATCCGTTTTATTTTGTCACAACATAGCTGACGTTTCATTATTCAAAAAATATAAAGAACCCAACTTAATTAATCGACTGTATGTCCTACAAAGTGTATCTGACAATACCACAAAGGGCTATCCATGCAATAGTGACGCAATGATAGTTTTTCACATTTTCAATCTGTCATGTCCTTGGGGGTGTGTACCCTCCCCTCCCAAAAACAGATTAAAATACATCAAAAAAGGGATTAAAAGAATCTGCCGACACCCCTAAATCCTTCAAAGGGTGTCCGACTCTATCAAACGATGAGCATGCTTAAATATGAGGCGACACACATGACACATGAAGAGTGCTGGTTTTCAGTTTATAATTTCTACTACTGTGGGGAGAGAAAAATTTGATTTCAGTGAAACATGATATCAAAGCAAAGTGATAAGTGGCTTTGGTTATCTTTATATACCACAGTAGCCTATAGGTGAGAGAGAAAAACATTAGAAAAAACAGAGAGGAGCAGATATGGCAGAAACAGAGAAAAACTAATAACAAAAAAAAGCTGATATATTTGAAGAGAGTATTGTCCCATCTACATATGGAGAGGTCAGTGAGGACACAAAACAAAGAGACTGCAAGATAGTGGGAGAGAGGGAGAAAGGGCAGAATGAACTCTCCATTTTTTTTTTCATTTGGGGGTTTCCCTATTAAGCGGCAGTAAGGTGGGGTTCACCTCAAGCAATTCTTAAGGAGGGCTGAGTTCAAAGCGTGCCGGTGGGAGGAGGGACGGCTGTGTGGGAGCACGGCAGACAGTTAAGATGGGATTTCTCATTACTCGCGTCTCGCTCTGTGTCCTGGCTATCAATGCTGTATACCGCTCGCTCACTCGCTCTCTGCCCTATAATTTTTCTCCCCCCTCCTTTTCTCTTACAGAGACTCAAACTGAATACATAAGATTGGGTTCCACTAGGCTACACTCCCCCTCTCTTTTTTCATAGTCTGCTTGTGTCTCCACAGTATCTGACTGTGTACACACAAACACACACAGGCTAAAACACAGAGGCAGAATGTATGACAAAGCAAGAGCAAAGAAGAAACACAAGGCATACAGAGACGTTACTATGTGCACATACTATGTGACTAGCTGAAAGCTGAGCAATATGGAAAATAATACATGTCCTAACAACCAGAAAACCTTATTTTAATAATGGTATACAGTGTGTATATATGTGTGTATATATGTGTGATTAGTGAAATCTGACTGCACTAATGATTTTGTTTTCATAATCTATTGTTGTATCATTATTATTTTAATAATTTCTTTACCTAATTAATTAGATATGCAGTCTATGTAAAAGATAATCACAAATTACAGTCACAATCACTAAAGTATTTTTAACTATCAATTAATCTGCTGATTATTTTCTGCATTCTATAAAACATCAGAAAAAATTTGGTGGCTAAGTCTGGTTTTGCCCAACCAACAGTCCAAACCAAATTTACTATAATGTACGCTCAAGAAAAACAGGTCACATTTGAGGACCTGGAACCATCCAATTATTTTTTTAAATCTTCTTTAAAACTGACTAGAACAATTAATCAATTAATTTGAACATTATTAAAAAAATAAAAACCTTGGGAGAGCGGGAGCCTGGTAAGACAAAGAGCCGAAGCTGAGGATCAAAGCGCCATGGTGGCGATGGTGATGATGTGTCAAAATGGAGGGGTTTCCTTGAGAAGAATGAGCTGCACGTCTCCTAGCAATCAATCCCAGATATTACCCCAGTATTTGTCAGATATGCTCTCTGCCACGCTAGCCACCCGTGACTCATTCCGTCATTACATCTGAGAGGTCACGCCCACTCCGCCCCTGCCTGCACCGTCGTTCCTGGGTCTGATGGCGGCCTAATGGCCTGCTCGCTCTACACCGCAATTAACCTTTTTATTGGCCACCTGCCAGCCAGCTGGAGATACATCAGTGGTTGTGCATGTGTGTGTAAGTAGAACCATAAATGCAATAGCTTAATGTGTTCAACACTTGCATGTGCACAGTGGTCGAAGCTTTAACGTCTATGAATTTCCATGTGAAAAGTGTGTCAGCGTGTGTGTGTGTGCGTTTGCGTGCCTATAATAGCTGACAGGTTTCACCTGCTCCACTCTTCAAGTAGAAATTGATTGAATCTAACATCCCATCATGGTTGACCCAGGCAGATCCCACTGGCTGTGAGGCTGCCTGATAGCAGAACTCTTCTTGGCACAGGGACTAAACAAGTCCCTTCTGCATGATACGTTGATGCAGCTTTAGTGACAGGTATTGATGAAGCGCCGGAATAGATTGCCTACTGTCCAGATATGGTTGAAAAGACTTTAAGATGCACACACATGTGCAAGCACGCTCTCATTTACTCCTTTCATACAAAAAAACACACAGAAACTCTGTTTTCTTTAGTTTACCTGACAATCTGTTTTATGATTAAAGCCAGGAGAATTGCCATAGCAACCATGGGGTCTACTGTTACTGCTATTACATCAACACTACAATAACTTGTGTGAAGGCTGAAAATGGCTTAAACATGTGTTAACAGAAAGTAGTAAAGTATATATTTGTACATCCAAATGACACTAAAAGACCCACCACAGCCACAGCCTGTTCTGCTGCCGTACCACTAGACTTAAAAGGCAGTGACACATTATTCCTCAACTATTCATCATACAAATTTGTATTTTTTGTATTTTTATGACTCATTTATCTATTTTTATTTTGTTTTTTTTTTAAAAGTAGCATAAAGACAACTATATCTAAATTTCATTCTACAATACTGTGTAGTAAATGACAATAAAATAACCTTGAGTCCTTGAATTAGACCAAGCACATATCTGTGCCCTGTTGCTGCTGGATCAGCAATACGTGAGGCAGCAGAAGTAAGGAAACAAGTAAAAATGTCGCAAAAATCCAACTCCAGGCTGTTCCAGATGTTTACATTTTTACTTAAGGACCTAATCAGGTGTTATAATACTACACTGCAGTCTTTTTTTAATCAATCAGACTTTGCAGATTAATACAGGCACCTTATATTTGGCCATTCGCTACTGAAGCACCTTGTATCTACTGTATGCGTCTAAGTTTTGTCAAGACGAGTGGAGTCTGAGAGATCACGTTACACATGCACAGTTAGACAACTAAACTCTTTGCGGCAGGGAGGAAAAATCTTCTCAATCTCTGCAATGGAAATATGCTGCCTCATTAACTTGTAATTCAAAAGTCTTTGAAAAGAAACCGAATCACAGTGAGACAGTAACTTCACACAGGCACTCAGTATCCGAGAGGCTTATACTGTACTATCCCATTGTCAACAAGAGGCCTCTCTCTAGAGCGTCTTAAAATCTGGCAGAGCACCGCTGAGCAGAAAGCACACAGTAAATGCATTCTGCGGCTCCTCCAGCTGCAAATTGAATTTCGGGGCATGACTTGACTCAAAACACCTAATAATCCCACGTCACTTGCTGTTCAGTGACTGTTCCCAAACCGATCAAGGTCACATAGTAGGACTAGTAATGAAAAAAAAACCAGACCCTTTTGCAAGCATTTATCCAGTATGGCAATGCATTCAGGTTGCAGCGAGGTGAAGGAATTTATAGAAGAGAAAGCACAAATGGTTGAGCAATTCAAGGACAAAAAACAATCCGCAAGAGGCAGCAACTACAGAACCTTTTCACACCTATAGATGTTATTGTGGTTCACCATTTGTAGCGTAGGCGTGTGGTCGCAAACATTATAAAGAACTGGTAAAGAAAGATATTTTTTATATTACAAAACGTACTTTGTCTTACATTGTTTCTTAAAAACTGAGGACATAAGAATGAGGATGTAATAAAGACTGACATAGAGGTGCTTAGTGGTTCATTTGTCTAATCTATGATATTTATGCTGAAAAATATGTGTTTTCCAACCACTTTTATTCCTTAATAAGCCAAATACTGTCCACATGGTCATTGAGACATGTGTCATCAACCAGCACAAATGAAAACGTACTATCCCAATTCCCATAATCTGGGGGCGAATGTTGAATTGTCAAAACAATTTGCCACAAGCTACAACTGTATTTTCAACCATGGTGTTCAAGGAGTGGCAAAAACTGTTAACTAGGTGAATCTGGCAGCCCTTACCTGCTACGGAGAGACGGGCCGTGCGGCTGGAAATGGATCCCAGGTTGTCGATAGTGGCAACGCACTGATAGGTGCCCTCGTCAGGCTTATTGTGCTTAGAGTGGACCACATGGTTGAAGAACAGCGAGCCATCGGGAAGTATGTGTCGTCTCTCATCTGAAACCAGGCTCATGAAGGTGCCGTCTTTCTTCCACTCTATGCGTGCCGTCGTAGCCGAGTCGCTGTGGGCCGAGCAGTTGAGCAGTGCCGAGTTGCCCCGAATGGCCAGTGTGTCCTGGGGCTCCACTGTGAACCAGAAGGGGCTGAAGGGCTGCGCTGCTGAACCTGGGAGGGAGAAGGGAGAACAGAGATAGTTAGCTGGATGTTCTACACCGACACCAAGTCACGTTGTAGAACAGGACCACCTTAGCAGCGAGGAGCAATAAATCAAATGAGAATCATGTTGCTGTTGAACAACTGATCTGTTCCATGGTGACTGAAGCTGATACCAATGCTGATATTATTGACTTTATTGTAATACCAGTATGTCTACTTTCCAACAGTGGTGAAAGTGTAAATTTGATGCTTGCTGCAGTTGCCGAAAAGCTTCATCATGACCTGCAATGATGTATTAGTAAATATGAGCAAAATGTATGTAACTGCTGTAATAGACGAGTATAAATTACTGTGAAACATTTTCGTATTTTATATTTTTAAGAGTCAAGGGAGCTCTAAAATGCTGACCATCATCTGAAATACATGGAACTACTACTGTAACTGCCTTTTGAGCTCAACCACATAACAGGTGACAGCAGAAAAAACACATCTCCAAAGATGTCATCAACTTCAATAGCACATTTTAAAAGTCCCTCACACAAAATGTGCTGGTGGCTAAAATGAAAGGACACTACAGGAATCCAAGTGGCCCAAACACTCAATGAAATGTTTCCAAAGCAAAACATCTTTTGGTTCATTCTATCTTTTCAGCCACTGGGCCTCAGTCTATCCCAGAGACTCCAAGAGGGTTTTCATTATGAAACCACAAGCCCCACTGGAATTGGACGAGAGGAACTGACAAATTTAACCCAGTCTAGCCTTTCTGGCAAGTTAATATCACGTCTTGCTTTATTATAAGTAGAGAGTGCAGCGAAGGAGTAAACACTTTGGAACGCGGTTGCCATTTCCTTTCCTCGAGCATAAATGGTAACATCGCACTGACATGGATAGCGCCAAAGTCAGAGTAAGTGCAATTGCTTTGCATTTGTCCTCATCCATTATTCAAGTGCTCCCACCCTAAGAGTCACACAGTGGTATTGTTTAGATAAATAACACCAATTATCAGTTCTGCAGGGATGGAAGAGAGCTAGAAAAATAATTAAGAGGGTATGAAGGTATTTTAATAATGCAGCGAATGGAGTGAAATAAGTGGCTGAATGTTAAATGCAGTTTAAAATATGCCTGCTCTCTTCCAAGGAAATGGCAAGTCTCCAGGGGAGAGCGAGAGCAGAAAGAGGCAAAAAGAGAGGAAGACTGAACAGGAGAGCAAGGGGGGAGAGAAGAGGAGAGAAAGAGAGATGCTATGTCAATGGTTCAGCTATTTAACTACTAGGAGATAATTTCTCTACCTTGCGGCACCAAGTCCCTAGTGTGAGATTCAGAGAGAAGCAATGTAATGCGTGGTCCATTACGGTGGCAATATGGTTGCTTGTCCTCTGTGCACTTAGTTCTCTTGAAAGCACAAACAATTACAGAAAATGACTGAATAGAAAGATATTTTCCACTTCCACATTAGGGAATAAAGGTAAGACAATACTGCATTCCAACTATGCTGTGCAATTGTCTCCACACTAATTCACTGACTAGACTAGAAAAGAGAAAAGGAACAAGAAGTGCCTTTATCTGTCTAAATTGACAATTTTGGATCTTGGTGACTCTGAGCATTTTATTGAGGTGAATCTGGCAGGTTTTAAATCACATTTTGCTGCCAGTAATGTGCAGCTACAGACTGGATGCGATACAAAAACTTTACTAGACCTGCTGATGCAAAGACAGCAGTGCTCAGACATACGATATTTTATGTAGGAGTGGGTGTGAGATTCAAGTGAATGAAAAGAAGCAGGTAATAAAATATATATTTTAACAATAATATACTTTATCCTCAGCCAGTGTCACACACCTCACAACTCTTAGCAGGAAGCAAGTGGTTTTACATTTGACTGAAGTTAGCGGCTGATTTCAGGAAATCGATAAATTCAGACCAGCTTAGTATACATATTGGGCAGAATGTGACAACACCAGCAAATGTATTTTTACTGATGGTGTACATGACAGATGGAGAGAGACCAGAGTGGAGTACCAGTGGGGGGGGGGGG